TTCATACACACCAAGTACTGAGCATTGAGAGTTCCACGCCTGTTGTCTGCATCTTACCTACGAGGAAGAGATGGAGAGGAAATTAATCAGTTGTCTCTATTCCTTTAAAGGTCGGGTGAGTAGGATGACGTGTTTGTTATTAGAGCACTTTATTTTCACTCCAGACAGTTTTACCTTGTGACTGTTTGTATCATGTTGTTTTCTGCTACTGTCCTCATGATTGCTGGGTTCCTCGTTCTCGAATACTCTTAAAATGACTCCATCACAGGCGTCTGTCGTTTTTGCAATGTGGATGTGAGTTCGAATTAAACCTTCTCAATAGATTCGGTGTACAAAAAACATATGTTGCAGGATAGGACGCATGTTTGAACTACTCGAAAAGTGTTCGCATCCTTATCTTTCATACTGCAATCTCTTTCTTGTATTTAATCACTTTCTCGCCTTCGAGAATATTTCACTTCAACAACTAAAGGGTTCCGGATAGATATGGCAATGACATTGCTTCGCCAGCAATAGCATATTTTCTTCTTTCATGTCGCAGTTCATGGTTGCATTATATGGGATTAGGTAACAGATCCTTGGGTGATACATCATATAGTGTGTTCCAAAGACTTGTTCGCAGCGGATGAAGGGGCGTGTCAGGTGGAATAGGTTTGGCGTGGCGCCAAAGCTGTTCACCCTCGATGGTTGAAGCGAGCAAGTGAAAAGACTGTATCATATCGATCATGACGTTTTCTTTTAGCTTTTGTAGCTTACCCGCTTCCAGATGGTGGAGGAGGGCTGACGCCACGCCATATTCCGTCCTTCATCAAGACTAACACACCTATCGATGCGATAAGCTGTCAGATGACATGCTTAGCGAGTCTATGCTACCACGAACTGCGATAGCACCAAAGTAGTAAACTCGTAGTTTGTACATGCACTTCCCGTGCATCCGTTTTGGAATAGGTATAATGCTGCGTTGTTTGTTTCTTATCAAACTCAGCTGCAAATGCCCATACCTTCTGCAAAGGGTATCGAAATATTGTTCGCTTTCTTCCACTTCGTTCTTTTATTAACGTGTTATTCTAAAACTTTTCTATTTTAGACAACGTGTCATTCTAAAACTTTTCTATTTTAGACAGTGGTACTGACTCTCTTTTCCGCGACGGCGCTCATCTCCTGAGCCATGGCATTCCGCGGTACGAGAGGAGGTCTTGTTTTCGAATTGACTTCATATTTCTGTGATATTTGTAATCGTTGCTTATTAAGGACCAAGTACTAGTACCACGCATGATGGAAGTTATCTTGAACGTCATAATGACAGTCTAGTTGATGAATTGTCGACGAAGGTTGCGGCACTCAAAAAGGTAAGACGACTTTATGAAGTACTTTTGTTCAGTCCAACCATTTCACGTGAAGTAGAAGCTAATCTCACTCTTCTTTTGTTTGGCTGCTCGCTTTTGCATAAGTGGATACCGATACGGCCACTGTCCTTCTGAGTTGCAAAATCTGCCCCTCCCTGTCGCACCCCAAACCACTTCCCCTTGCTCTTGATGCAGTTATCGGAATCTGTGTTCCTCTCCTTAGCATATCTTGTTTTTTCACTGTTTATCTTATTACCGATACTAATAAAGTAAAGTAAAGTACCGTGGCTGAGCACAGTCAGCGACGGGAGGGGGCGCTATGCATTTTGCTGTTTCTCATTGTCGTGTTAAGGTCATCAAGCAAAGCTTTGTGAAATCTTTTGAGGCCGTGAAGTAATACTAGTCAAAGTTCGTAGGCAGTACCTTTTAACCCTTGAAAACCAATAAACCCGACAACGGGAAACTGCGGAAGTGCAAAATGCCCCGTCGCGAACCCCCGAGGTTGTTGTACGCGGAATAATTCGAAAGCCTTTTGGGGAGTATCATTGGGGTGACTTACCAACGCATCCCCCTCCACACTCTTGACTATGGTGTGATTGCAATCGTGATAAACTTCGATTAATAAAAAGTCAGTCGAGATCTTTTTGATATTAAGGTTACCATATCAATCGGAGAAGATGTTAGAGAACAGAATCGCTTACTAAATAGCATGGATGATGATTTTGACGCCTCAAAAGGATTGTTATCATCTACAATGAGGCGTCTTGGTATTGTTAGCAAGGCAGGAGGTCGGTTCATCGTTTCATTACACTTTTTTTACGATTCTTATGAACTGTTAATGTCACTTGGTTCCTGTATGTCCTACAAGTTTGATAAGTGAGTCCACTATTGAATCCATCTAAAGTTGGGACTCACTTGTCAAGTATTCATAGCTATCTGGAGATTACCCATAGTTGCAAAACCTGATCCAACCATTAGTACAATGTCTGCAGTTACACTGTAAGAGTGTGTTCATACTTTGCGTCAGCGTTTTGAGCGTTTCGAGCGTGTGGCAGCATTTTGGCAACTAGGAAAGTATAGGTATCGATCTACGGCAGCGTTTTGAGCGTAAGCCAGCGTTTTCAGCGACTGCCCGATCAAATACACCCGCGAAACGCTCAAAAAGCTTGATCTATATCTATACTTTCCCAGTCATTCAAAACGCTCAAGACGCTGCCGTGGCTCAGAACGCTAACGCCAAGTATGAGCGCAGCCTAAGATCAAAAAGTTGCTATTTTGTAACACATGAGCGACCTGCGCTCAAAGGAGCTAGGCATGGGCTACCTAACCCAAACACTCATGTTGCCAGAGCATTTGAGACGACCATCTAGTGGGAATGTCACCCCGTCTTGATAGATTTTTGTCGCTAAATGTTCTCCCTCGAGCCACATCGTTCATCTAAAGCATACAACATTTTTTTTTCACTGGCAAAAGTCTCCCTTGATGTCCTTGGAAGGCAAGAGGTAGCTGATCTCGCAGCTCAATGTTGTAGCTATGACAGATTTTCAATATGCTTAAGCCTTCGAAAATATCCATTGTTAATACTTTTGATAAGAGAATGAGCTATGTAGCTGCAGATGAGAGATTTTGGGCGGTTACTGTGCATGAACAGTATCGAATGGAATTTTGAATCAAGTGGAAGTGAAACTGCGTTGTATGCTGCAGTATGTTGGGCTGTCACAGATTAAATTGACGTTGAAATGGTTGTTGGAACGCAGATTGTGTTTTCGATGGTTGAACAGTCCCCATAGTCAGAAGACAGTGAACTATTTGCTTTGTGTGCTGCCAAATGACCCTGCTCCTCAATACAATAAACTTTTGGACTGATTAGTCAGATTCAGTGACCATTCTTCTTTTTTATTTCTACTTTTCAGGCAAGAGTCTGATGTGTTATTTGATGTTGTTCGCTCTATTCGTCTTCTTCGTTATTTATTATTTGGCAAGGTAGAAGCGAACAAGGATAAGGCACAAATGAGCGGAGACCATCCGTAATAAGAGTGATGCTCTAGATAAATCTATTGTGAATGCCCAGCCGTTATTTTTTTGCGGTTTTGGGATTCTGGTGACTGTGATTCCATTCTTAATGATAACGATTGGTGGTAGCATATCTGACTTTCTATCAAATCTTTTAACACTTTACTCCTTAAGTGTTTGGTGACATGGTGTAGAGCGAGTCATCGCGGTGTTACTTTGTCGGAGAATATAATTGTGATCGAATGTCTTGCTTTTTTTAACTTTGTTCATATATTATTAAATTGTCTTCTCTTGGATTGTTTGATGATAAATTCCATGTTCCAATAATAATCCTACGGAGCAAAATGGACACTTGATTCGTGCCAAGAAGAACAGTCGATCAATTATTGTGCTTTTGCGTTTTTGAGCTCTTCACTCGTCTTTTCTACTTTATTATGCGGAACAATTCAGTTCCAATGCTTGGAATTGTCTTGGTCCGTGATATCTCGTCAAATGACTCGAATTGTCTTGGTTCGTGATATCTCGTTAAATGACTGCAGATTTTTCAGGGTGCAAGCCAAGTAAGGCAGTGTGGTGTGTGTCACCTAATTAGAGAGTGCACCATACTTTCTTGAGTACAAACCCGCGATTGCACATTGTGGATAGTGGCGTTTAGATGTCAAGCTTCAGTAGCTAACTGACTCTCCAGTGAATAGAAAAACAAAAAAATATGGAGACCACCCTAGGTGAGGACTCATGGCAGCCCCGTTGTAAATTCTCTTCACCTGCTCATTTTATGCCAGCAAACCGATATTCTGCCACCTCTGGCTCACTTACCGTTTCTTCGCGTAATTCTATGCTGACACCATCTGACAGTAAAAAAAAACCCAGAAATAAGGCGTGAAACTGAACTCGTAACAGGAAAACAGAGTTTTGGTGGGCGGAGCAACTGGAGAGGCGGAAGTGCCGCTCGTGAGGGCTGCAGCGCCTTCGTCACTTAACTGTGAAACCTGAAAGTTGCACAGTCACTTACACAATGGGGACCAGATTACTTGAACGAGGAAAACGAAAGCCTACGAATTGCTTAAGCGCTAGGACTGTCTCCAACTTCTTGAGCCAGAGAGAAGAGGTACAAGCTCTTTGTAGACTCCAAGCCGACTTACTGTTATATAGTGGAAACATGGCGTGAAAAAACGTTGGTTTTCTTGATGAGGTGGGAAAGATGACTCTTCTACAACTGAAATATTTTACGACGAAGTGAAGAAAATGTGTCGTATTGTAGAAGAATGTAAAAACAAAGGGATACATTCTAAGCTTCCTAGGCAGCTTTCAGACTTGTCGCGCTTGAACGCGCGTTGATTGTGGCGCTTCAATTGTCGCACTTAAGTTGTCGCTGTCGCTTGTAATTGAACACGCTATAACTACAAGCGTCTTCAAATTGTACCAGACCCCATCCCTGTATGGTGTCTTTCTTTCGTTCTATTCAAACCCCTTTCACGTTTCATTTCAGCGTGATTCCTGAGCTTCTCTGTTTTCACTTTGACAGTTGAAATTAAATTGTATGTTTCTTGATACAACACACTGTTGGTACGTGATTTCTTGTATAGCCGTTCAAAAAAACTCGGTCGTTCTAAACTCAAAACGTCGTCAAGAACGTCTATAATGAACCACATTTAAAATTCAATGTCAAGGTGAAAAAGAGGAAGCTAAGAGTCAGGTACAAATGAGAAACAGTGAAAAAGGGGTTGAACAGCGGCAGAAAGAACATAAAGAAAAGCTGGGGTCTGGTACAATTGGAGTGCGCTTGTAATTATAGCGTGTGCATTTACGAGCGACAGCGACAATTGAAGCGCGGCGGCAAGCGTTCAGACTTTGTCGCGCTTCAACGCGCTTTACTGTCGCGCTCACAGACGCGCATCATGCCTTGAGAAACCGACTACAATTACACGCACGGAGAAATTTCTGCGGCTTGTAGGCTCGTTCGTTTCTATGACGAGCTATATTAATGGGTTTTAGCCCACAAATAGCCTGGCTTTTTTATGAGTTGAAATTTTCGCATATAAAAGAAGTTTTGTCTGTCCTTTTCTTATATCATTTGATAGAGAATTCCCACTGCAATAAAATAGTGTACATAATCTTCCGCGAGGCGAAGCAGAAGCTACGGCATAAAAGCCGTTAAGGTGAGTGGGTACAAGCGGCCCTGGTGGCATAACGCGATAACGCGCACTCGCCTGGAAAGCGTGAGTATGCGGTTATTGACTCCCGGCTTGGGAAGACTTTTGTCCGCACTTAGCATTCTTAAGATAACTAAGCCTTAAATTTGAACCTCGCAGACGGACGTCGCCCCGGACATTTTGAGATCGACTGAAACCTTATTGAATCAGCCTACTCACGAAGACCCACACCAGATGAAGCGGAAATTAACGGGAGATCATGAAATGATTCCGTAACCTCACCGAGCATCACTCTTACCTGAAGGGAGAGGTAAAAAATCCTGGCGCATTGGTTTCGCGTGCAATCTCGTGCGCAGGAAGGCGCCTGAAGCGATGCTGGTTTCAAAGTTGAAAATCCCAGCTCCGGAGCGCTTGGATCGATTTGAGTCATCCTAAGAAACACCAAATTTTTTTCCTCAAATCATGTAATTCGCCGAATCGTGAGCTGCTTTTCCGCGCATGGTAGGTACCTCGATCAGGCGGAAAAAGTCTGCTGTCGAATACCAGTTTCCTCCTGCCTGACGCTCGATTCTCTACCAGATAGTGTGGGATGTGTCTAGAAAATATCCCATTTCCATACAAATTTTCACGTCAGAACAAACGCATCACTTATGGGCCAGCCTTATACATACTAGGTACTTCGGCCTCCCGTCGACGAAGCCGCAAAGCTACCAGATAATCACTATTTTTGAAAGCTGATTCTGATATTTGATTGATGCCAAGATTGCAAAAAAGTCGAACATGTGATATTCGATTGAATATTCCTTGGACCTCGCTCCTGTTCAATGCCGCCCATAGTGCGCGGGGGGCGCTTGAGCGATGCTTGTTGTCAAAGTCGAGAATCCCAGTTCTGAAGCGCTTGAATCGAATTTGAGCCGTTCTAAGGAACAATTTTTTTGGAGTCATACACAATTTCGTAATCACAAGCTGATTTCTGGCTGCTTCTAAGTACATACATCCACCAAACAAAAGTGATTCAAAAGACGTTGCAATTTTTTTTCGACTACTCACGCTCTTTGTTTAAACGCCTAATTTGGAAATTGGTGCGATGTCGGAAGCTCGATGGCTTACAATGTTCAAGAAAATCGAAAAGAGGCTTCGAAAGGTTGTGCATCAGAGAGTTCAAAAGGCGGCAACAGATCCAAAATGTTACGCCTAAGAAGTTATCGCAAGAATTTCTGGTGGTCCTGCATGTCTCTCGGCTCGTGGAACACTCTCTTTTTTAGTATTGTTATATACTGCACACAACGTATCAAAAAGAAAAAAAAAAACAAGAAAAAACATCCAATTTCTACTATGGGCCTGCTAATTTTAGTAGGGAGACTCACCCTTCCCGTCGGAATGGTGACCCACCTGTTCATCGCCCAAAAAAATTAGAGAATAGCTCTAAATCTGACAACGATAGAGAGATCACGAAATCATGAGCATGTTATTTGAAGAAGCTTCAAATTCTCCACCAAATCACGGGATGTGATTAGAAAGTATTCAACCTCACACACGGGTCCACATTCCAATTCACTTCTGCTTAATTCATTCGTAAATTCTTTACACAAATTTCCTACGTACAGAAAAACGCCATCTTTTATGGGCCAATCCAATAGTTCGGTCTCCTGCTCCTGACCCCGTGCTACATGATAATCACTACATTTGATAGCTGATTCTGATAGTTATTTGGACAGGACCTCCCTCCTGCCCGATGCCGGTTTTTTTTGGGGAAGACTAAATTGTGGCATGGATTTCTTGGAAAGTTGTTACTGAAATAGGAAGGAAGTTGATTAAGGTGATAGCAGGCAGCGAGAGATGGTCGGTACTGAGGTGGAAATTCTAGAGGTATCGACATCGCACAGTTTGACCTCATCCTGAATGGCTGTACATCTTCCACGACTTCAGCAGATATGAGTGTCTGCTAGCACCAGACATCAGTGCAAGTGTTATATAACATTCCACTGTAACTTTTTCCGGCACTTTATGCAAGCGGAACCTAGAAATTTCCGCTGTCCTCCGCATGGAGGTGAATCCTTTTAGCACTCTTGATCCATTACTATCCCAGAAAAACTCGCAGATAATCTTTCTCGCTTAAAACTTTGTCAATAAATAACGCTTCCAGCTCTGTATGATGCGTCCTCAACGTCCCAACGTTCAGGATTGCAGTGCAGAGCTTCCAAACGTTGCGAAACATTTGGAATACTCTGGTTGCCCCGATGCCGTCCTTGCAATGGAGGTCATTGCGTACCTTCCACACGCCCAGGCCTGTTGAGTATGAGTAGACTCTCGCGGACACTGTCACATTACTTCTCGGGATTCATTTGTCGCCAAGGCGGCAATGGTGTAGTGGCAAGTGACACGCTCACAACGCGCGCGGCCAGGTAGTTGAATCCCGGATGGACTCCCGCCTAGGCCATACAAGCCTTCTTTCCTGCGGAGACAGTGAACTAGTGGTCTGGGAGGATGAGAACAATGACTTGTGCATCGGTTGGACCCCGCAAGTCGTTGTATAGGCCACACCGCATTCGGTTAGCCCCTGCAATTCTGAATTGAACTGCGTGCCGCATCCCAGAAAAATGTTGATCAGCAGCGAAGACTATCCTTCTACATTTCTCGCCATTAAACATTTGTGATGAGAGGAAATCGAAGGCCGACCCTTCACGAGGGCCTTTTTACCTGCATTAAAGCACGTGTCGGCGATAGACTCAGGCCTATGTTTCTATAACCGTGCCCGAGGTCAGCAGGCAATCGTCAGCAGCTTATGCTGCTTAACAAAAGTTGAACAAATAGCACAGAAACGCGGCGCGCTAGCTTTTTTGGCGCCCGATAGGCCCATGCCAG